GAGAGCCGGCAGTCCAGGAAGCTCATCCTGCTGATGGTGTTCATCGCCCTGCTCCTGGACAACATGCTGCTGACGGTAGTCGGTAGGTAGAACGGGCTTTGGGGATGGGTTCTTCTTTCCTCCCTCCCGATTTATGCCAGAAATAATCTCCGCTGACAGATGTACTCCCTGAGTGCACGGTTGATGCTCCCAAACCAAACCTTTTCAAGCACTGATTTATTAGTTTTAAACACAAATGGTATTCTGTCTTGCAAACACGCTGACATACACATCCAAGCCTCTGTTTATTTCTGGGTTAACTGCAGGATAAGGAATAGTATAAAAAGGTCTTCATAATTCTTTTTTTTTTCTACTCACCGCTGCTAATACTTCACAGAACAACAGATAACAGTATTTTTAGCTCATCATCTTTTTTTCTCCTGTGGTCATGCAACTGAAACAACAGGCTAGATAACATTGGAGATGCCTGTTTCCTTGCGATAGTCCTTCCTTCCCCCACACTGGTCTTAAAATGATAGGTTAATAAGAAAACTGTCTAACTGGGTTTTAAGTAAAGCACTTCTATGAGTTGGTTTAATAAAATAATCCAAGTTTTGAACAAAGTCAAAAATGAAACTTTTTGGCTTAGTAGCATAGTGTCAAGATTCAGGAATCTACTCAAATAAAATGCTTGGACATTTTTCGCTGGCAGTTTTAGGAGTCTTCATCTCCAAATGTTTCTGTGAATTTAAAGGAGGTTCAGAGAAGCTGGTGGTCCCTGGCTGCACGCACACGAATGCAGAACACTTCTCCCTGAGCGGGGCTGTGCAGGGACAGCTCTCAGACGATGCTGCAGTGTCAGCTTCTCAATCAGGCTCCTCAATGTCTTGAGGAACTTCAGCTTAAAAGCTGATGTCACAGTGTAGACCTTAGCTAAAACTACATATATTTTGAAGTAAGTTGATTTTTTATTTTATTTTTACATGAATATACTTATGAATTTATTAACATATAATTGCTTATTTAGCAATATGTATGCTAGAAGCCCTAAACATTATTGCAGTTTTTAGACTTTACCCTTTTTCCAGAAGTGATGCCAGACAAGGAGGAGTGATTCTGTCACTGGTGTTAAATTGAATGAACCTGACATCTGTTTTTACAAATTCTGACATGCTAATTGCTGAGATACGTATCAATGCAATTAAATTGCAGCTAAGATCCTAGAGCATATAAAGAAGGTCTCTTCTGGATGATATCTTCAATTTAAAATATTTTAAAATACTGAGATACGGAAGCCAAGACATTGGTTCTGATTAGTTAATATAGGAGTCTTATGTTTTTTTCCTTCTTATGGATGTAACTTACCAATATTTTCGTGATTTATTTTAGAAATGTGGTTTATTACATTTTTTATAATTTGGTTTTAAAAAGTTTCAATGTATTTTTCATCTTCCATGTTTTCACAATCTACTAAATGGATAATGTGCAGTCATGTGCAACACAGAGACTCTTCAGACAGGGGTTTTGACACTTGTTAAATTTTGCTTTCTGAATGATGTCTATATTGAAAATCTTATTATGAAAACTGGCAAAAAAAAAAAAAATATTAATGTAAAAGAACTTTTTGTTTTAAACTGCACTTCTGAGTTACAGGTGTGTTTTTTCCCATGAGAGAACTTTCAGTTGTGTTTCTGCCATTCAAAATCCTTACTAATGTGCTCTGTAGAAGATCCTTGTGCTTCCTAATCAATGGCAAAGCAAACAAGAAAATCTGGTGATTCCATTTACAAATAACCTGATAGTAAGATGCCAATATATTCTATTTGTTTTTCCAGTGCCAATAATTCCCAGTTACCTTTACAGCATCAAACATGAGAAAAATGCCACAGAAATCCAGACTACTAAGCCTAACTTAGTCTTGGCAACGACGGACAATTTTCAGAGCATCTTTTCCTACTTTGACAACACAACGATGGTTACTGGAAACGAATCTGATAACACAGAACCCAGTGAGCTGCATCCTACTCAGACAGAACAAATGATAGTAAATGTGACTCCTTTCCCACCTGACTGCCCTAAGGAAGATGAGGACCTGCTGAATGAAAACGTTCGAGTCGGTCTCTTGTTTGCTTCCAAAGCAACAGTGCAGCTGATCACTAACCCCTTCATAGGGCCGCTGACCAACAGGTACGTTGTTACTGCTGCATCACTCAGGCTTTTATGGTCATGTTTCAGTCTGAACTAGTATCTCAAACAGTGGTTTGAATTCTATTGTAGCCCTGGCTTACTGGCCTTCTCACTTTATTTGGAGGAATATATTTTAGTGAACTAAGTTTTGTGAACACTTCTAAACACCTGCATCCTTTCCAAAATAAAGTGGTAATGCATAGGAGCCATCTGATACATTCAGTATTGTGCACTTCTCCAGCTCCTGAGAGTTCAGGTTTTCATAGAAATTTGTGCTGAAATGGTGTTCAAATGTCTTTGATAACACTTTTATGGGGCCAAAAGAAACTAGAATGTAGTATTTACAAAGCACTGTGAGTTGATAAAGTATCTATCTGTTACACCTACATTAGGCACATGTGATGTTGAGACTGTAAGCAGGGTTCAGATCCCTTCCTTGCTCTCATAGAGATGGCAGCTCTTGGTGTGATTTGGTATCCAATGATTCAGTCATCTGAGGTAAGAATCAGTGGGGAATTCATGTGGACTTCAGTGAAAAATGAACAAGAGTCAAACTTTGTTGATGACATGTTCATCACCAAGTTCAGGAGATCATAGGATTTCTGTCAGTACATGACCGAGCCCAGCCTTCAAATTGCTCTCTCTAAATTCTTTTATATATATGATGTCTTGAATGAATTATGTTTAAATGGTACTTTATAGAAAAAGTATTTGAGCCAGGATCATGACTTACAAGCCCCGTCTCCCTAAATCCAAGTACTAATGAGGTTTACATGGAGATAAAGAAGTATTTATAATAGCATTTAAATTTTTGATGTTAATAATTAATTTGATTTTATTGTTAGCACTTTGTGTAACCATTGCCCACAGACGCAGCTGCAGTTCTCCTAAAGAGAATGTGAAATCAGTCTCTGCAGGAAACAAAATCCAAATTCTGTTGAGTCAGGTCACTGATTTTCATACTTAAGCTGGTTTTATAAAGAAGAATTTTTCCTATCAGAAAATAACGTGCTGCCAAAATGTGTCCTTGTAAAACATTTTTGTTTAAACAGTCAATGCCTATCATATGTGACAATACCCAAAACAACCATCACACTTTAACGATAGATATTTCAGGTTTTGAACCCAAAACTACCTTTCTTAGGTTTTACAGCTTATATATATATATATACATAAAATTAAACACTCAGTATATATATATACTGAGTGTTTAATTTTAATCTGGTAGAAGAGTATCCAGCTGAGGACTAAGCAGAGGTTTGACACACAGTGTGATGAATTCAAAACCTATATTCAATCTGTGGAGCTGATCTAAACACAAAAGCTTTAAGTGAGATTGACTGTTTCATTTCTCTCTCATTTCACCTTATCTCCTACTGCATATGACCTACACAGATATAAGTACGCCAGTGCAAAATTACTTTTCTACAAAAACTGCTGCAAGTTGAGGAGGAATACAAATTTTTGTTACCTGGATTTTCTGTATTGTTTTATGAGGACATAATAGCTCATCCACAGGCAAATTAACATAATGGCAAATAATATTTTCATAATACTTCTTTAGATTTTCATAAATGTCTGATTTATCCCCCCAACTGATATTTACTTTGCTGTGTTAGCATCATCATTTCCACAGCCTGCCAAACCAGGAGAAAGCTCCATGCTGCCAACAGCTTTTTCAACAGTGCAGTTATGTAGATATGATCTCCACTCTTTCTTTGGTAGACACCAGCCTGAAGGAAGAGGGTGCATGTCCCTGCTGATGCCTCTCTGTGTTGCCTGCACATCTCAGGACCAGAGCCTGGAGCTGCCTGTGCCAAGGCATGGGGTAACTCCTCTCCCCTGGAGCCAGCTGCTGGGACACATGATATATCCTTAGGTTGGGCAACAGGGCAGTAGATGCTCTCAGAGCATCTTCCTTTGCTGTTAGGAGCCAGGCTGGTGACTAATGTGAACATTAGTGCTGTGAGCTGAGATTTCCTCCTGGAAACATCCTACAGGTTTTGTGTGGGGCTGAGTGTGTGACTGCAATCACAAGGGCAGGTTTGCAAGCTCAGGGACCATCAAGTGTGAGAAGAAAACTCAAGGAGCCCAACATCCCAGTATTCTGTGTGACAAACTCTTCTCTCACACAGCAGAAATGAGAGCCTTAATGGCAAAGTGGCCCTAAATTAGATTTAAGGATTACTGGTTTTCTTTCATGCTTTATTTGTATCTTGGTACCAGTATCTGCCTTTCTTCTGAGAAATGTTTAGTGGGAAATATCAGTTAACGCATTTATCAATTAACTGTAGACGTCATTGGCAAACACCCCCCTCATGTTGCTATTCCTAATAACAGTGTGTATAATCAGTTAAAAAGCAGTGTGAAAATTGTGATTATTATAAATGAACTCCAAAAATCTGTTGCCATTATTAAGGCTCTTTCTTACTGCTGATAAACTGTTTAGTGATAATTGTTACTGACATTATGACTTATGCAAAATTTCAGCAAATTATCACAGCTTAAGGAGAATTGGTTGCTTAGTCCAAGATAAGCGTGATCAGTTTGTTAAGATGCTCAGTAAGTTTTTTTTTTTTTTTTCAAATAGGTAGCACACTGTGTTCTTGGGTTTTATTTTTCAAGTAAATCTAGTTGTTCAGGAGTGGCTTAGATCTTTAATCCAGTTTGGAGTTACTGGCTTTTGGTACACACTGGTTTTGAGTGCTTGAGTTTGTACAGGGTGCAAGATTAATTTTATTACTATAAGTCTGTACCAATAATTGGTTTAGGTTTTCTGGAGGTTTTGTAGGCTGTTTTTCCCTTTTTCTATAAATACTGGAGGTGTTGATTTTAAAAAATAAATTTCAAAATTGGTTCCATTTTAAGAAGTTCTGCTAAAAATATATATTTAAAGCCCAGCTCTTTCCATGGATTACCACTATTGATATTAAATACTTTAATTTATCAATTGGTGAATAAAATATCAATTAAATAAATAATATCAATTGGTATATTAATCTCCGCGTGAACTCCAAGAAAATATACAAATAGCACAGCACTTGATGCAGGGCACTTTGTGAGGACAATGCACTGGCAAAGGGAGACTGAGTCTCTGTCTGATTTGTTACAGTGAAGAGGGTGAGCAAAAAGCTGCTGCGTCGTCTATAACTAACTCATATGCGTAATTTTTTTTTTCCAAACTCTTAGGAAGCTCTCTGAGGCTAGGAGCCCAGTTGTGCTGGACCCACAGTCCACTAGACCCAGCCAATGGATCCCCTGCCATAGCTGCCTCTCCCTTTATTTACCAGGAAGAAACACATAGTTTTAATTTTGTGCTTATCCATATTGGTCTCAAAAATAATTTAAAAATTATCAGATATTTTCATCGCCATCTTTTCACCATCCTGACTAGAGCTTTGAATTTCTTTACATAAAAGAGAGAGAGGCAAGACCATGATTTGTACAAGGTCAGGAGACATGCAAAGAATGAGGAAGAGAAATAAATTGGATTTGTAACTTCTTAGTTACAGTTCAGGCCCTATGTAAGATTTCCTTTTAGTTTTAGGAGGTGATGAAAAAGCCCAGGTCTACAGGCTGGAAAAGCCCCTCTGCCTACCCTGTGCTACAGCATGGAGGTGGGCAGTGCATGAACCACGCTCCCTGTCTCTCCTGACCCTGCATGTTCCTCCTCAGCTCCACACACATTCAGCAATTCATTGATCATAACCCTGAGGAAATATTCATCTTGCCACACATCCTCCCCAGTCTTCACTGGCAGCAAAGAAGTCAGCCAGGCTGCCAACCAGGGCAGATTTCACACGAGCTGCTGATGGTGGTACCTGTGTAGCTCTATAAAAAGGTTGAAACAGGTGGATTTGCAGCACTGAATGGATAGATAATGAGACTCTAATCGTGGCCAGCTGCTATGCTGGTCAGTGTAACCCTCACTGCTGCACAGCATCCCCAGTCAGTTGTCTTATTGCAGGGTAACCTTGTTAATGGGCATAATCCACCTCCAAACAGTCCTGCGGTCGGGGGCTGACGTGGGACCGAAACAGTAATTTAGGTGTTCCCTGTCAATGGCAGCCTTCCTTCTCCCTCCTTCAACTAATGCCTCTGGCTTTTTCAGAGGTCAGAAATACTCTTAAGCACTTTTAGCTGCTGGTAGCCTTGGTGAAACATGCTGGACTCTGCTTAGATTCTCTCGGAGGGCTTTGAAAGGAGCATCCAAGAAAATTGCGTGCTTGACCGTGGTAATGAGCAAAAAGAAGAGAGAAGGCAGGCTGTAATATTCTTTTCTTTTGCACACATGCAGAGGAACAAAATGTAGAGAGAAGTGTGATGGAGTGTGACATGCCATGGCCGAGAAGTAGAAACTGTGTATTCACAGGTTTCACATGGCAAGAACATGCATGGCCCAGGACCAAGGGGATCACTGAGTAGCTGGCTAGTAAAGGCTCTCCTCTTTCTGATTGTGTTATGTAGTGTAATTGTTGAGTAAAAACTCCCAGCCTGTGCTCTCTAATATCTGTTGGACCAATCAGGAATGCAGCTGCAGATTAAACATTTGTGGTGGCACAACTACCAACTAGCTTGTGCTGTGTCAAGATGAGGTGGGGTTTGCTGAGAGGCAGGGTTTGCTGAGAGGCAGGGTTTGCTAAGGTTGTGCAGGAAAGGACAATCTGCGTGTCTAACTAAGTAGCAGCTGGATGTGGTTAAGACTTCCCCCTGAGCAAGAGCAACCACACATTCTAGAGGTTCATCAGCCTGTGTGGGGACAGCAGATCAGAATCATGCATCTCCCAGTTGCGGGTGAAGCTCCAGGCAGTTTTTAGCTTTTCAGAGGCTTGTAATGACTTGTTTAATTCAGCATAAATGCATGCCCTGTGCTGACCTGAATACCTTTGCATCATTTTGCATGATGGACCACTGGCAATGCCGACTTTGGCTGAAATGACTAGCTGTGCCCACACAGCGTCTGCTTCTGAAATGATTCATTTTTATGTGGAGGGAAAAGTATGTGTTAGGCCTTGGTATGTGTGATAAAGTGTCATGATCTGCCGGGTAGCAAGAGTAGGACCAAGTTCTGCTCCAGATCTGCCCTCATCACCCTCTGCTATGTCTCAGTTCTTACCTTGCTGTGATCCTGTGTGTCCAAGACAAAGGAAGAATAGTATCTATGACTGCAAAAATTAAGAACAATCTTTGAACTGTATTTCACTGAGCATTAAAAGTGACTTCCAAAATATTTATTTCTTACAGCCTTCAACCACTGGAAACTTTCCAAGCATAGGAGGCCTATTGAAAGAAACAGAATCTGCTATTTCTTGATAGAGTATCATTTAGAGCTAGCATGATAGCCCTTGTCTTTGTTTAACTCCTTCATGTTTATGAAAGATCTCACAGCTTTTGTCTTTGATCTAGTGATGGGAATGTAAATGAGGGAAACAATTTGGATGACATTTGTCTTCATGCAGATAACTATTTTAATTCAATGTGCTTCTAGCAGAAGTAAATTTCTGCCTCATGGCCCTTTGTCAGATCTTAAGAATTGCTAGATTTCTGTGCTGAAATCAGACTTCTCCCCCAGAGTGTCCATCCTAGGTACCTCTGGGATGGCCTTGACAGACACAACCCTACTTTACTTTGCAATGGAAGAAGTTAAAAAGACATTCAACTTTTGCTTTCATACCACAGAGAAAGATGATGATGCTCACCAACAGCAGTAGCCAAATTTGCAGTTTGGTGTGTGGTGCCTTTTTTTTTTTTTTTTTTTTTAATTTGTACTTCTATTAGTGCTTTCTTTTACTGAAAAATTCAAAATCAAAGCAATTATGGTCAAACCCTCCATGGCTTGTCCTTCCTGAGCCCACTGGGAAGGGAAGTGCCCACTTCAGCTGTGAGGCAGGCAAGAAGTTGGTAGCAAATCCTTTTTTATTTCCTCATGTGCACAGAAACATCGATGGGGATTAGGATTCCACTGTATAATACCTACTATACACACAGCAAGAGAGACAGGCTTAGAAGAATCATCCACTTTAAATAAATCAGACCAAAAGGGGTAGTATTATTCTCTTCCAGGCCAGGTATCAAGGTGCTGAAAGATTAAAATGACTGTCATAAGGGCACAGAGGAAGTCTGTGATAGTGCCAGGGGTTTAATTTGCTTTGGAGATACCAGTCCAGTTAAGTACCACTCAAGCAACTAGTCTTTGCTGGAATATTTGTAACATCCACTTACAAATATCAACTAGAAAAATCTGTGCACTAGATTTTTGTCATATTTTCATGTAGTGATGACATTTAAGGCAAAATTATTCTTCATTAGAAGTTTCTGTGGTGTGTAGACTTATGTATGCTAGACTTCTTTCATTCACAAAACTCAAGAAATATCCCAATGTGACATATAATGGACATCAAGCCCTGTGCTTCAGAGAGTTTTCCATTATGCAAGGTCTTAAGTTGTATAAAAATTATACTAACAAAAGCCCCAAAGCTCAGAATAATTATTTTGGCTTACCTATGTTGTAAACGTTATTGTTAAAATTTAAAAGGGCCATTATAGACTCTTCCATTATTTGATTTACCTACTTTCATCAATACTGCCAATATAAATCCCCAATAGTGTCAAATCTTTGGAAGCTGAAGTCAGTAGGTACTCCTTTGAAAAACATAATCCATTGTTGAAGAAATTGGCCATTAAATGATGTCTTTGCAAATACATTTGAGCTGTACAATTCTACAAAAAAAGAAGCTGTGAATAAAGTGCTAAATAGAATATGCAGGCTCTCTTCAGAGTCATGGGCAGTGGGTTTGATGCCAGGGTAGATTTTTAATGGTGCGAAAAATAGTTTATTGTGATTTTATTTTTTTGTTTGTTTTTGAAATGTCAGTTTTAGCTGCTGAAAAAAAATGCATTTGCTTTCCAGACAAAAAATTCTTTATTTCCTGGAAACTTGAAAAGCAGGCTGATGAAGAAAGCTTTGATCAGCTCCAGTTTTTCATTCCTAAACCCATGAAAAGCAAAAATATTCTTCTCAGGCTCTTTGGGACTCTTCCAGTGCTCCTGACTGAGACAGAACTCCCAACAAAGCTGATGACAAATTTTTCCCGTAAAAAAGCCATTGGTTTGACCATGTCTCATTATAGTCATTTTCTCATGAGGACAGGAACAGATGAGCATTGAAACACTGCTGGGATCTTTCAAAGTCCAGCATGCTCAGACAAATCTACCCTTCTCATATCCTTGGCAACCCCACGAAGACCCAGAGGGGATTTACTGGGAACAATTATGGTGGAACGAGAACAGGGCAATCAGATTCTGATGAGAGAAGGATTTCTTCCAGGGATTTCAGATACAAAGTCTGCTCTACCAGATGAAAAGGTGTTTGTAACACAGACAGATTTGATCGTGTGGTCCACAATAAATAGTTCAAAGCCTACAAAGGAACTACAGGTTGTGGGTTTTTGTGGTGTGTGCACTCAATAATAATTATTTTGTGTAAGTAAGTCTAACTCAAAACGTAAGTAAGACAACCTCAGAAATGTGAATGTTCATTTTGTTTTCCAGAATAGGCTACCAGATTCCACTGTTCACTGGCTTCTGCATCATGTTTGTGTCAACAATCAGTAAGTGTCCATGTTTTATTTGGTCTGGCCCGGGTGAAACTCTTAAATAAATGGTCTATAATAATTATCACTAGGAGCTCTTCTTGTTGATGGAGAGGGACTGGTTTCCAAGGACAATGTAAGGGTGGTTGCTCCGTGTGGATGGTGGTGTTGATGAGATTTAACAAGTACACTCTTATGAACATAAGAAATTCACCATCTTCCATCCCACCTTGGCTCGTCTCTTCCTTAGCTGAACCTTTCCTTCAGGCTCTTGTAATTGGAAGCAGTGCTCAGACAGTTCTAAACAGATAACCACGGGAGGGCTATCAGCCAGGAGAGGGATATTTTGCAGGGTCCTTAACAACTAGCTGTTGTAGGGGCTTATCAGAAAGATCATGAGGCTGCAGTGGCTCTGGAGTAGGACCTGAGTCAACAGTGTCGTAGTGCTGCTAAACATTGCTGCAGGATGTGCAAAGAGGGGCACAGCCTGCAAGTCAGCTGAGGTCATTTCTCTACTCTCATGGCATTGATAAGGCTTCAGCTGCTGGTTTATGTTGGGTTTTGGTATGGCACTGAAGGATGTGGAAAGAGTATGGAGGAGAACATCAAGGATCATTAGAAGCCTGTGAGGAATGGGGAAAGTGCTGGATTTACTTCAGAAGGGAGATGTAAGATGTATCAGAGTCTCAGACAATAAGGAAGAGAAGAAACAGTTTTCTATGCCCACTGTATGTAAAGGAAGGTGTAATGACTTTAAAACTTTGTCAAAGAAAAGTGAGGTTAAATAGTATGAAAACATTTTTAACTGCAAGGGGACTGAAGTGCCGGAGAAGACAACCTGGTCTTAGAGTTTCTGACACCCTGGATTTTAGGAATATGTCAGATAAACTTTGGCTGAGATGGATATAAGAGTAGCAAGCCTAATTCATGACAAAGGGGAGTACTGTTGCTTTGCTGGCATACTTTCTTCCTTTATTTTTCTTGATTTTTCTCTGTCCATGTGGGTAGGTGTTTTTGTAAGACCCAATGAAAAGCCCAAGAGACACAGGGCAGGTGGAAGAAGTGTTTACTTATCTTGTGTTTAGTTGCTGTGTAACCATTCAGCTATAATTTGTCTGACAAAATTCCTTAGGTGGCCAACAGATAGGAGCTGAAAAACATTTTTAAAAACTCACTATAGATTGAGCAATGCTGATCATGACACAGACCATGACATCTCCACAAAGAGAGATGTGCTTGTATCTTTGGGACACCCCTGCTTTCCAGGGCTGTGGAAGGGGAATTTAGCTGGACTGATGGGTGCTGCATCTGGTGGCTCTGTCCTAAAATTTAGAGTGGAGCTCAGGGCAAAGGCTCCTGAGGGAGAGCAGGAACATCACCTCCTCAAGGTGCAGTTTCTCTGGGGGGTCTGCTGTTGGGAGCCCCAGGAACTTGCTACAGCCCTAGAATGGGTGAACCTGGTTTCCCTGCCTCCTCAGCCAGCTGTGCTGCACAGCAGCTATTGCAGAGCTGGCCCAGGGTAAAATCTCTTTCCACCCATTTACTGGCTGGAGGAAACATCAGTGCATACATGCACGTGGGTGCCTGTGTGCTAAACCACGCTTTCCACAAACGCCTGGAGCTCCAGACTGGGCAGCCTTCAATGAAGCAGCATGGGGAGGCAAGGCTGGAAAGAAAAGTCTTCTTCTTCTGTGTGCAGCTGAATCAGAGCAGGATGTAATCAAATCCTAAGTAATTAGTTAAAACTGCTTGTGGCCTTGCATTTTGTTCTATCAAGAGGCTGAGACACCTGAGAGTGATTCAACACTGACACATCTAAATGCAATAAGAGAAAATAATGCAGTTAGCATTGAAAGTGGCACAAGTCACTGTAAACGCTTGACTAAATTGCATGAAGTTTTGGTGATAGTTTAAAGAAATCTAACTTTTTAACTTACTTAGAGCTAATTTAATTTTCAAGATTTACCTCCTTTTTTTTCTGTAGTGTTTGCCTTCTCTGGAAGCTACACATTGCTGTTTATTGCCAGGTCCCTTCAAGGAGTGGGTTCTTCTTGTTCTTCAGTGGCAGGTAAGAGAAGAAATGACAGAGTAAAATACAGACCACCCGTTCTATAATTTATAGTAATTTTCTGCATTGTGTTTTGTCTGTAGTTTCAGTAATTAACACAAAAATGTTCCATTAAATACATTTTGTTTTTTCTGTCCCTTTCATATAAAGTAGCTCAAAAGCAAATGTCTCTTAAGACTTCCTTGGTATTTGGGTTGTGCTGAGGTAGAGCACTAAATGAACTGCACTCTCCCTGGGAATTCTGCATGTGCGTCTTCAACATTTAAAATCCATTTTTAGCCATTTTAAAGGTCATGGGGAACTTATGTTGGTACTTGTTGCAGGAGGGATAGCAGCTCTGTCTGTTACTGCAGCTGCTGTTATAAAATGCTGTTTTCAAAGAGTTGCCAAGCTGTGTGCCAGTCTGGACTCGGGTTACCTCTACTAGATTTCCAATACAAGGTTATAAGTTTAAAAAGAGTAGGTGAAATAGAGTAGGGGTTTTCAGCTCAAGTAACTCAACCATTTCTGAAACTGAGACTGGAGAAAACATGATTTGTTAATGTTAGAACATTTCACAATCTTTCCTTTGAAAAATTTCCCACAATGGCAGCAGGAATATAAATTTTGCTT